GTTTATTTCGATTTAATAAAATAGTTTTTTAATATTGAAATGAGGGGAAATAAAAACTGATAAATTATATTCCAAAGATATAATATATTCAAAGAATTATTTTCAATAGAAATCGAAATAAACCAAACATAAATAAAGATAATAAATGAGATTTATTTTTATTTTTAAATAGAATATATCAATTCTATATATTATTTTATTTTTGAATCGCTAATATAAAGAAATCTATTAATATTATGATATAACTATATTCAATAGAATTACAATTATAATAACAAAAACAAGAGAAACATCTTATTATATAAATCGATTATTTAAAATGTTAATTAAAATAAATATATATATATATATATTGAAAAAAAATTTATATATAATAAGTTGTTGTCTTTTTATTTAAATTAAAAAATGAAAATCTCATCCAAGGATACGCTGCAAGACTTGATCGTCTTGATCGTTGTTCGGAATTTAATCGATTGTCATCAGATAAATAATTCTCATTTACTAATCTCTCAATAAAAGAATTCATTCTATTAAATGATGTCATACGCACTCTTTTTTTTTCAATATAATAATTATATAACGAAACGACGAAAAAGAACAGAGAACCCTTCGATAATCAATTCTTTATCAAATATTCGAATATACTATAAACAAATCATTTTCTAACAGAGATATTTTATTTCTAACAGTTAACTATTTATAAAGATAACCTTTTACTTTTTTAAACAATTAACCATTTACATTGAAATAAAATCTTCTATTTTACATCGAATTATCTTTTAGTTTCATTGAGAAATTTTTTTTCGATTAAAATATTCTAATAAGATATAATATATGTAAAATCTCGTTTCGATCTTCAAAGATGAGACAACTATCAATCTCGACATTTTTCGATTAGGATTCAATATTATTCTATAGTCACAATTTTATCTCGAAAATAAAATAAAATCAGTTTACCCGATTTTCAATAAGTATGGATTCCTTATTCAATATTAAAATCTATATCTATTTGTTTGTTTTATTTCGCTTTAGAAAATTGAACAATTTTCTGCTGAAACAAATCGAACAACATTTAGTATTACTTGATAAAATAATCGAAATTGAATTATGATAAGCACAAAATCGTTTTCAATCACGACGACAAACACTAAAGTTATCATGAATTCTTCGTTTTGTTTTTTATTGCTGTTTGATTAATTCTATGATAATATTAACAAAATACAACGCATTCTTCCCTTTTCTTTGAAAGCGATTGAGATAGAGAAAATTGATATTAATGTATATAAAGATAAAAAAAGTGAATTTAATTTAGGTTTTTTTTTCTCTTAATCATGAAGTTGGTAAAGTCAATGCAACACCATGTTTTATTTAACGTTATTTTAATTGATTTGTTGATAAATAAATAGGCATAACAAAATTTGTTGAATGACTCGTTGTTGAAAGTATGTCACGTCGTTCACTTATTTTATATACTGAACATTCATATGTCCCATCGGTATTTAATTCATTTGTTTTTATGTGTCATATATATATATATATTTTTTTGTCTTTCTCTCGTCCATAAATCATTGTTCATGTTGTTGTTATCATTGACGATCAATGATCAACATGCACAATGAAATATGTATATCAATTAACCTTTTTGAAATGAACTTTTAATTCATTTTCGACGAGAGAAAAAAAAA